ACAATTAATATATCTAAAATGATCATAAATAAATCAACATATTTATGGTAATTTGGACCTAATTATTTCTTGATTGAAATTAAATTAAAATCTATCCAAGCCAAATAATGAAGAATGAAATTTTGACACCTAAGATCCCGAAACATGCGAATCTACTACTTAGGTTCAACACATTCTAAAATTATATATAAAGGGATAATACGAGCCTCCAAAGGAAGTAAATAAATTAGTAAACTTGGAAACTTCATGAATTCCAAATACTGCCCAACATGTCATCAGTATCAAATGCAAAATACTAATATTAGTTCACTATTGAATATAGTGTTTTCTAGGGATGCATAAAATATGGTTAATTGATCGAAACTGATTTTTTGTTTTCAACCGAAACCAAAACCGGAAATTCGGTTCAATTTTGGTTTATATATTTTAAAAATTACGATTTTTGGTTCGATTTTTATATTACCTATCGGTTAACCGAACTGAAAACCGATAACATACATATATTAAAAAAGGCCCAATATAATGAGTTAATGATAAGGGAGAATTTTACATGTGCACAACGATTTAAGAATAATTGCAACAATGCCAAGGTTGCATTTTTATTGCAAAGTTAACAAATACATGGAATTTATTTGTGAATATACAAGATATCAGTTATCCAAAAAAAAAAAGATAAAGCCTCCTTAAATTATGGGATTACCAATAGACCACGTAAGTCACCTTCCTACAATCACGCATCTATAGGATTGCATTGAAAGAAAAAAGGTAAGTGTTCCTACTAATTAGGAACTTGTTCAACCATGTATATTTCTTTCAACGTTTTTTTTTTTTTTTTTTTTTTCTATAGTTTGTCTTAATTTATTATGTATATTGTTTGTATATTTACCGTATATAAAAGAAGTTGAAATCATACTCATGTACATATACTGAAAATATATTGTCAACCTTGACATATACTAAAAAATAGTATATTTTTCGGGAACGTCTACAGAAGATATACTCATTGTATACAGTCGACATAATAGAAAATATACAACAGATATACAAAGATAAATCAATCTTGTTATTATATACAAAACATATACAAAATATATATAGTTTATAAACAGATTATAACCATTTAATTATTGCAAAAAACATCAAAAGAAATGTCAGTCGGAACAAGCCTTCCACACGAAGATC